GCAAGTGGAGAAGGGAGAAGCAGCTGCCAAGGCCTTGAAATACCGAGCTTCCAAGGCAGGGCCCGGCTGCAGGGCGCTCTTGGCTCCACTCTGACAGAGATCACAAGGCAGGCGGTGCAGCTGTAGTGTGCGGTGGTTCAGGCCCAGGCAGCGCCCCCAGCCGGCCCCAGTCACACATCTGCAGGCTTGAAGGGCTCCTACAGTGACCCCAGGTTCTATTGTCTGGGGTTAACCAGCGGTATTTTGCCCTTTATTATGCTTAGTATTCCCACCTTCTAGCTCATTGCTTTCAGGATAAAATAGGCCCCGTATGAACCCACTCCAGGTTTCAATGCATCTTACCAACATGGAGCCTTTATTTTTTTATTTTTTGTCTTTTTGAGAAATGGTCCTGCTATGCAGTTCAGGCTGGCCTAGAGCTTACTTTGTAGCCCAGGCTGGTCTCAAACTCACAAGGATCCTCCTGCCTCAACCACCCTAGTGCTGGGATTACAGGCGTGTGCCACCATGTCCAGCTCAACGTGGAACCTTTAAGGTTCCTAAGACGTGGTACGCACTGTGAGCATTTCTACCCAGGAGATGATAGATTAATGCCCTGACTTCACAAGAGGGAAACTGAGGCCCAAGGCTCCCGGAGGCTGTGCTGCCCATCAACGCACAGGACTTCCTGGGTGCCTCTCCCACAAGCTTCCCCACAGCTTCCCCAGCATCCAGACCCCTTGCACTGCTTTCAGTTGGGGAAGCCCTGCTTGTCCCTACATGGCCTGACCCTGGCCCTGACCCCATGCCTTGCCTGCCTCTGCAGTGGCCAGTGGGGACAGTGGGCTGTGGGGCTGCGGGAGGAGTGTCGTGCTCATCACACCCCCGTGTGCCACTTGGGGAAGGCCTCACTGACCCCCATGTTGGTGACACATACACGCCTGCTTGCAGGGTTGAGTGTGCTTAACAAGCACGTGAACACAGAGATACACCTTGCAACACCCACGGCTCCCACAAGGCCCTGAAAACCCCGTGTCCTGTGGAAGGTGTGGGTACCTTGCCCACCAGGACAGATGTGGCTGTCACTCTCGTGATACTCCCCAATCCTGGGGTACGCAGTGCCTAGACAGACACTAGGCATGCTGTGTACTGTACTCTGCAGCACACGCCCTGGGCCAGCCAGGTGCAGTGGGGACCTTTGGAGCCAGCTCGACTCCCACACAGCCGCTTCCTGGTCACAGCAGCCTTCTCGTCCCCTGGCAGGTTCTTCTTAAAGTCGTCTGGGGCTCAGTCTTGACCAAATGAGACCATTCTCCCCTTCCTGAGGACCGAAAGTCCACTGTTCCACTAAGTCGAGGGGAAAGGGTGGTCCTGTGAAGAGCCATTGTGCCCGGACCCGATCAGGTCCTGGATGAGGTGAGGGTGATCAGTCCATACCTGGACACAGGGCCCTTTCCAGGACCGCTGCATTACACACTGGGGTCAAACCTGTCGGAGTTTGGTTGGGGCCTTGTTTCTATCCAGAAAGTCAGGTTTTGGCATCTGGAAGACAGGCCCTAGTGCCTGAGGTCTGCTCAGCTCAGGGTCACGCCCTGGTCTGCTGCAGGCACGGTGGTGGGCTTCTCTCTTGCTCTGTCCAGGCTGACCCTGCTTTCTGCTGCTCCCTCAGGGCAGGGCGTCTCATACGATTCACCTGTAGGCGCTGCACAAGGCCTTGCAGTACGCACTGCTCCTACACAGCTGGATGCGACACCCTGAGATCACCAAAGTGCCCTCCTTGCTCCATGGGCAAGAAGTGAGCACGAGACACACTGATGAACACAGAAACATCCCTGGTGTCACCACCCTGTCCCAGGGAGACCTTGCCCTGGCCCTGCAGGCACAGCTCGTTTCAACCCAGGGCTGCAGTCTAATGCGGGTCACACGCCCATCCCCCACCCGGGTGTCTGCTCCTTGTGTCCACAGCGGTGTCCACTGTACAGCACCTTGCTCTTGGAAGAGCAGTCAGGGCAGCAGAAGGTCTTGGCTCCACACGAACCTGAGCCCATGTCTCTGCCTAGGCCAGTCTTCCAAAAAGTGACCACTATCTTAAGCAATTTTTAACATAGCTTTCTTCCTAGTAACTTTCTGGTGTACCTTCCCAGGTGGAAACTCACCAATCAAGCAAATGAGAAAACTGTTTAACTGCCTGTGAATATTACGCCCCTTCTGTACGAAGTGTTTCAGGAAACCAGAAGGCTATGCTCGCCCAAAGAATGCAAAGAACACGAGCGCATGCCACAAGTGAGGTTCTGTACGAGACCCCGTGGCAACACTCCCACCACAACCCCCAGAGGGAGAGGATGACCTGGCACGGTGTGGTGTGCGTGTCTGCCCCACACTCCATCCAGATCCAGTCTTTACAGCCACTCAGGCTCCCTGCTTCCTGTCAGGCCAGGTAGAGTGGACAGCAGTGGGCCCTTCCCTGCCATGGGAAGCAGGGTCCTGGGAGAATCTGCAGATGCAACCTCTATGGAGGGTGGGACCAGGTCATGACTGCCTGTCCTTAGAGCTCCAAGCCCCAGAGCTACAAATGACCTATGACCTTCAACAGAGGGAGAGAAAGGACCCAGTGACCATTCACAAAGTAAAGAATTCAGAGAGAAACCACCACGCCACTGCTCTATAGAGGTGACTGAGCCCTGCCGTGCTCCAGGTGGCACCCCTGCCTACAGCTGTAAACGCAGCTGAGCTCTTGCTGGCAAATGGACCAGGCGCACTTAGCAGGGAACTAACCGAAGCAGCGCCGGTCTCCTGCCGCTGCATTTCAGCACCCGGGCCATCACCGGCAGCTGCAAAGCAACTGCGTTCTACAGCAGGCCTGAGGTTATGGGCTCCTCCCAAGGGCAACTGATAACTGGCCAATGGCCAGCCAGAGAGGACGCCTGAGTCCACAGGCGTTTCGCCACAGTCCTACCCAGCAGCAAGGTCGTCGGAGGCACAGCAGCTCACAGCAGGATGCGCCATCAGAACCAGGCAGTCTAGATGGCAGCAGAAACAGCTGGCATGCAGGGAGGAAGGTGGGCGTGCCACAGCTGCACCCCAGGACACGCCCTTCCGACCAGTATGAGACAGAGCTCTTACCCTGTAAAGGATCACGGACTCTAACCCCAGCACAGGTGTTTCCTGACTTCGAGGTTTCACTGCCATTCAGACCCCCAAGTTCAGCTCTAGCTCTCTAGGGAAACTGCAATCAGGCCACCTGCACCTGTCCCACCTCTGACTTTAGGGACCCTAGAGAGGCAGCTGTGCTTCTGGTGTCCCCTGGGGTAGAGGCAGCAGCAGGCATCTGGAGCCCATACCTCTCATGTCCAACCCAGCTGATGCCCTGTTCATGCACACATGCATCTCTTGTGGTGAGAAAAAGCAGTTCGGGGAGGCGGCGGCAGTGGCAGTGGCCAGGGCTGCACAAGCCAGTGCCGGAGCACAGCCATGTACCAACCAGGGTCTGCCCAGCCCTCGAACGCCCTGACCCACCCCTCAGTCCCAGCACAGGATGACGTGTCAGAGCGGCCACTCCTGGCCAGCACCACCATCTTACTCGGCCATGTGCCGCACCATGATGAGCTGTGTCCAGCTGTGCCTGAGTTTTTCCTGTCCTCCTCCACAGCAGTGCCGTGGCTGCAGGGACAGCATCCACACGCAAGCACGCTGTGTCTGCTGTGAGCAAAATCCAGCACACGCTGGCTGGACACAGTCAGCAGGGAGTCGGGCAGGGACACGTCCCTTGGTACCGGGCTGGACTGAATGTCGCCACAGACAGCCTTCCATGGGCCTGCTAAAGACATGCCCTCGCTCCCTCTCTCAAGACTTGATCTGATCACTTAAACTATCCAAGCTTCTCTGAGAGGTTTTCTGGGGACACATGCAGAAAATTCACAGATGTAACTGATTTTCACAGTCTGAGAACATCAATTTAGCACAGCAAAATGATACCAGAGTGTGCTGGTGCAAAGCAGGAGGCACAAAAGCAGCCGCCGCACTTTGCAGGAGCTGGTGCGGGGCAGGGTTGCCCGCACCCAAGAACAGAAGTCGGCCACTCAGGGTCGGGTCAGTGCAGGGCCAGCTGATGACCAGCCCAGCTCCTGCTTCAAGGGAGCATCTTCCCTGGTTAGCGCTTAGCTCCAAACATAATTAGAAGAGGCCACAAGCATCCGATTCAGCTTTCAGGAAACATCTTCAGGTAATTAAAAAGATAAAGAACAGCTATCAGCAAGAATCGGACATGCAATTTGCGGCACACATTGCAGCAGGTTTTAAACACCCCAGGTTCCACACCCACAGGCACTCCTGAGCTCAGGGAAAGCATTTGGGAAAATTACACTGATACTATCCAAACTTTCTTCCTGGTTACTCCTTAAATGCTACAGCATAATAACTACTGAGCAACATCAGCTCCGTTCTAGGTGCTCTAAGTCCCCTGGAACCAAGGACCCCCTCCTGGATGTAGAAGGGCTGCTGCACACTGCCTCACACCACGCCTCTAACCCTCTGGGCGGAGGGTGCTGAGCACACCCCGCACCCGTCCTTTTCGTTCTTCCTAACACAACTCTGCCTGCCCAGTCCTGGACATCAACACCAGTGTCCTGCTATACCGTGTACCACAAACCAGCGACGGCCCAGACAGCACTAAGGGCCCACACAATGTCTGCTCTCCCTGGTCCTCACACCAGCTCCGTCCTCTTAAGGCAGCAATGGACTAACTGCTGCATCACTCCCCAGCCTGGACTGCAGGGAGGAAACCACACGACACCACTGCAGCTCACAGGGTTAAAGGACGTCGCGGTGCGGTTTTCAGGACCAGCCAGCACCGGCCTTCTGCCCTGGACCCTGCCCTCCCTCCTTCCTGGAGGGCAGAGCCATGCTGGGAATGGGGCCGCCCGGCGGCCTGACCAGTCTTCACACTTCCCTCCCGGACCCCCGACTGGCGAGGTGGTGCTGCAGGGGTGACGCAGGTCAGGGCGGACGCAGAGAGTACTCACAGTCGGCCGTGTACTCCACCTGGGAGGGCTGAGTGGGGGCGCCATCTGCAGCGTGCGGGGTGGGGGCAGAGCTGTCAGCTTGCGCTTTTCGCACCAGGGCTGCCAGGGGGTGGTCTGGGTCCACCACCTTCAGGGGCTAGGACAGAAAAGACAGCGCCTTAGTGTCTCCTGTGCCTGAACATGCACGTGCGTGCGCACACGCACACACACTCTCTCTCTCACACTCAGAGTGACAGCAGCCAGTGCCAAGGTAGAGTCACCTAGGCAGGACAGAGAGTAAGGGGTCACATGCACAGTGGTGGCCAGCCAGACAAATCAGGAACCTAGACCGTGTTTCAGAAAAAAGGACAAGCATGGCGGGGATGGAGAGCCATGGGAAGGCCCTGGGTTCAATCCCTGGTACAGCAGTAAGGACCCAGGAGAGTGGGCTGGAACGGCGGCCTGTACACGGCACTGCTCTGCAGGGATGTCTGCCTGGCCACCACCTGGCCAAGCCCAGACCAACACCCCTTTGCTCTTGACCCCCAAGCCAGGGATAAGGGTCCTGGGACCACTATGTCCTGGCTGAAACCCTGCCCTCCTTTTACCTCTTGGACCTCAGTCAGAGCCCCACACACCCAGACTGTCACCCTCTGCTCATTCCTGGAGCAAGCCTCACACCCCAGAACCAATGTCCCCATCCCTCTGGGGGCAACAATGTGGAGCCATGGGCAAGTGCTCAGCTGGCCCAGAAGAGCTCTGTAAGCACCTGGCTTCATCTCCGCAACAACGGCTAAGCAGAGGAGGAGGGCGGCAGGCCTAAACTCCCAGTGTGAAGTGTGAATGTCCCAACTCAAAGAAAACTTCAAACTTTGTCCTTCCTTACAGAAACTTCTGTTTATATTTATTTACTTTTGAGACAGGGCCTCACTATGTAATTCAGCCAGGCCTCCAACTCATGGCAATCCTCCTGCTCAGCCTCCCAAGTGCTAAGATTACAGGCATGTACCACCAAACCTGGCCAGAATTTTGGATTTTGTGTTTTGTCTCTTTTTTTTTTGACACAAGGTCTCTATGCAGCTCAGACTGGCTTTGAGCCCACTTTGTAGCCCAGGCTGGTCTTGAACTCGAAATGATCCTCCAGCCCCAGCCTTCCCAGTGCTGGATTACAGGAGTGTGCCACCACATCCGGTTTGAATTTCTGATTTTCAATGATCTTGCATTGTGCAATCTGTTAGGTCCCCTGTCTGAGAGACAGCATAATCATCACGGTAACAGTTCAAAGCTGTGCCATGACGATGCACACCTCCTTCTTCCCAGAAGCCCCTATGGCTTCTCCCTCCAAAAAGTCCCTGCCAAAGCTCAGTCATGCAAAGGTTTACCCAATCCCTTGCACTCTCACGAAATAAATCAGCCCACATCAGTCCTCAGAGCCCTACCCCATCAGAGCCTGCCTGTATCAGGTAGAACCTGCCCTCTGTCTGCAGGGAGCCCTCAGCCTTCCTTGTGCTGACTCCCTCCGTGCCCCCATTAAACCCTTCCTATCTAGTTGCCTCCTCTCTGCAATATTCTGTTCTTTTCTAGATCGAGTACAAAGTTTCCACTCAATCACAATCAATAGAACCACCCCCCAGGGATCAGCCAGGTGGCAAGGTGCTGAAAGCCGAGCTTAGACCTCAAGGACCGCTGCTTTTTACATCACAAATGGTGGGCTGAGGAAGCACTTTGGTTGGGAGGACACCGTGCAGCTCAGTGGTGAGGTGATACCTTCATGAGCTCTTCAAGACGGCTGCTCTTCTTGGAGGCAAAGAGGGACGGGTGCAGGTAACTCCCATCTTCCTCCTCATCTTCATCCTCATTGTCAGAGTTTGTCCCTGGCTCTGAAATCAAAATCACATTTCACAATTTTAGTGTCACCATGCACATGGCTCGCTGTCCTCCATACGTAAGGTGGGAAGAACCTGAAACCCTCAGCAGCCTTCAAGGCCAGAACTCCTCATGCCGAGTCGGCAGCCAGCGCACATGCCCATGGAGCAGACGACCCATGGAGCAGACGACCGTGGTGGCCGACTGGCTCAGAGGAGAGCCAGGGTGAAGCGGGAAGCCCACAGCCTCATCGCTGCTTGCATCACAGCCCGCTTGGCTCTGACACATCTGGGCGTGCTGTAAGAGCTCTGGCTTTATTGAAAGGCAAAAATCTTACTGATTCATGAAAAGTCAAACAGCAGCAACAGAAATTAAAAAACAAAAACCAAAACCCCATAGTGACGAAGTTGCAGAAGATGTGACCTGCAATAGGAGGACCCAAGCGGGCTGGGTGGAGCTCACTGCCAGGGGATTTCTTTATGTAACGGACTAGAGATGTCTGCTTTCAGCTGAGGAGAACAAGAGTGTGAAAAATATAGACAGAGGCTCCTCCTTGGACGTTACTCACAAGAGACACAACTGGCTCGAAAGAGATCCAACTGAATGAGCCACTCCCACTCCGTAAAGGCCCTGTGCAAGCACGCTCACTGGCCAATCACCTGACAAAGTGTGAAACTTACACAGTCTCTGCAAAATGTTAAGCAAGCCAAAAGAAAAACTTTCCAATCAAATCATTTTCTTTGGATGGGATCAAGAGTTTTAATTTTATTACATCTACCTCTAAAAAAGATCAGCTTAGAATGTTCCATGGGTGCCCCAGCAGGATTGCTGGCCAAGCCCCGCCGGCAGGACTTCCTAAGCAGCCTCAAGCTGAGCTCTGAGGAGTCCACCTCTCCAGTCTCTGAAGGAGCCCTCAATCGCCACAGCCCTGACGGGGCCCCAGGAGAAGCAAGACAGAGCAGGCCCACGTACTTTTTTTCTCCTCGTTCTTGTTTTCGGGCAGCACCGTGTACCGCCCTTCCTTCATAGCCTTCTGGATGAACTTGTAGTAGGGGTTGAGGTAGTGATCAAAGCGTAGGAAGTCAAACTGGGAGTTCCGGGCCTGCTTGGCTTTCAGCATGATTTCAAACTGTGCTCCCTGCTTGCACACGAAGTTGGCAGTGCGCTCGATGATGGCATGCATCTTGGCGGTGGGTGGCTGTGAGGAAACACAAGCCAGCGTTACTGAGCTGTCCTCCTCTGATCTAACCAAGCTGGGGGCAGCCGTGGTTACACTGTCCACACAAGGTAAGGGAACGGTCTGCACCTGAGTCTCACCAGAACTGATGAGAAGACACCCCCAGGGCAAGGGTCACCCCACCTCTGTGCAGCACCAAGGGGTGAGGCTTTTCTGCACCACATCGACCTGTCTCTAAGCCACCTGGGTTCTGTGGTGGGCTTCAGGAGGTCAGGACTCCTAGGAAGATGCATGTGAACTTCTCTCACACACGCGCACTCTTCCAGAAGGAGGGACGCACAGGTCAACTCCTCAAGGGCAGAAGACTCCCCCTGCCCCTTTCCTTCCTTGGGAGCTGTGCTGGGTTTCCTGGTGGGGAGATCACTCCGCCTACCCAGCCTCTGGACACGGGGAAACCCCCGAGCTGGTGCCAAGGCTCTTTCTCTTGTGCACCTCAACACCCTGAAGTTCTTATACCCAGTTTGTGGTTTCCGTTTAAACCAGAGTCCCAGACAGAGGCAGCCTAGAGGCCTGCCTGCCAGACAGGGCCGGGCACATGCAGGTGGCAGGTCCCCTCCTTGCGTTCTGTCCAGCTTCCACCAGCAGCCAAGACCCTGCCTTCCCTTGCTACTGAGTCTCATCTACCATAGCACGTGTTTGCCTGAGAAGTGACCTTGCCAGACCAGAAGCTGGAAGCCACAGCTCTCAGATACTTTCGATATCAAAGAAATGATTCACACTAGGAAATCACATAAAAATAAAACTGGAAATTATTCTCATTAGACACAATTAAGAATTCAACATGCTCACTGTAGTTTCAGGGACTCATTCTTCATAAAATGCAAAGGACTTAACTTCAAAATTTAATTTCTGAATAATGTCCACATTTAAAAAGGATAAATGTCTACACTTAAATTTATTTAGATCTCCAAATAAATTAGTCTGTGTTAAAAAGTCACTGTGTGCTGAAATAGGAATCTGATGCAGACTGTCACTGGCTTTAGCTAAACAGGAAGATTCCTTTTTAAAAAATGGCATAATTCCATAGACAGGCAATGACTAAGGATTACTTCAGAACAACAACTCTTCAGGGAAAATGGGCTATTCAACAGACCAACTCTGGGTCTAAAATATGCAACAAGCAGGCCCACTATTGACCTAATAATATTCAGAACACAGTGGCTGAAATACAAAAGCACCTTCTGAAAACAGCTCAAGATCTGCTATCAGATTCACAGCACAGGAGATAAGACTATCTGGCTTAGGAAAAAATCGTTCTTTTCCACTTTATTATGCAGATTTTAGACTTGAGGTGTCTCAAGATATCTTTGAGATTTCCACAGTGATATCTCAAAGACAGAGGCAGCAGGGGCTAGAATGCATGTTGGTTCCAACTCAGGACCAGAATACCAGCTGACACTCTTGGTGAAAGGGTCTGGCTTCCCTGGGGAAGCCCTCAGGAAGCGCTCGGCTAAGAATGCCCAGGTGCTGAGTGGGTGGGCATCCCGGGAGAGCTTCACACCACATTCGTGTGGGTCCAACACAGCAAAGCGCTGGCAAGTGGGAGAGCAGAGCTGAAGCCCACCAAGACAGAAACTCTGGACTCAGATCCAGCAGAGGACCTCCGCCTCCACCCCAGCATGGCCCAGCACAGCAGCCAACCAGGTAGAGCCGGCGGCCAGATGACTTCCTGCCATGTGGATCTCTGGGAAGGTGCAGCATGGAAAATCTGCCGGACCCCAGCAGAGCAGCTGGGCAGGCTTTCTCCCACAGGGGAAGAACCGTGAGACTCCCACCTAGCGCAACACCAGACAACAAACACAGGGAAAGATTCCAACCTTTGAGACAGGGAAACATCTTGCCAGCCAAGCTCCGCAAAGTGACAGCACAGAAGAGCAGTGAAGATGACACTTGGCAGGTCATGAATTCCTGCCAGGAAGGAGCCCCACACAGTTACAAGATGGGCACCTGGACAAGCACCAGGCAGCCGAGAAGGGGCCTTGCACCCCGCAGGAAAGCCAAGCTCTTCCTGGGGCCCTCAGCTTCCTCCTCCTGCCGCCCTGCCATGCACTGGGCACCTACACTGTGCTGACAACCACACTCATCTATGAGACACCTGGTAAGGCTGAGCCTCAGTGGTCCAAGCCCTGCTTGGACCCTTCCGTGCCTGAGCCAGGCAGCTCCTGCCAGCCTCTCCAGCCTCACTGCATCTCATCTGGATCACGGTTAACGACTGCATCTACTTTGTTACTTCGAGCAGGTCAGCCCTCTGGGTGCAGAAGCTCTGCCTAATATGCTTGGCACACAGTACGTGCTCAACAAACACACGTTATTTTTAACAAAAAAAGTGCTGCACCAGCAGTAACTAAACTTGGGGCTGCCCTCCCCTTCTCTCCATCCGTGAGGTGGTTTGTCTCAAACTACTTCCTGACAGGCACTCTGAGCAGCATGGCTTCTGGGCCACACCTGACAACCGTTGAGGAAAACAAGTAAAACCCACGCCAGAGTACAGGCTGGGCCTCAAGGCCAGCAGATGTCACTCCTTAGCGGGCTCTGGAATCCCGTGTGCCACCTACAGCGTCACCGGAGACAGGCGGGCAGCATGGGGTGGGGGACACTCTCCACCTCCACCCCCAGCTGTGGTCAAGCACCAAAGCCACAGCACAGCACACACCCAGAGTGGAGCAGGAGAAGGCTGGTGGCCAGCCCACAGCCAGACTGGGAAAGGGACCACTGGACGTGCCACACCTGGATACGTGACGTGGAGCTGTGCATCTAGAGAAAAAGTAGGCTCCAAAGGTTCACGGAGCAGGAAACGGGCACACTGAATCATTCTGAAAAATTACAAGTTCACGCATGCCTATAATACCAGTACTTGGGAGGCAGAGGCAGAACTGCTGGGAGTTCAAGGCCAGCCTGGGCTACACATAGTGGGACCCTATCTCAAACAACAACAAGCTAAAAGTTCAGGTGGCCTATTCAGCCAAAAGAGTGGGGTCACACGTGTGGTTCACGGGGGGAGGGTAGGGGGGAGGAGAGTCTACAAAGTGGAGGGGCAGGTACCCAGCAAGAGACCGGCAGGGCCTTGGCATGTGGCTCCTGGGCTCTCCCCTGAGAGTCCAGAGCCAGGCAGCAGCCTCCCCTGGCAGTGCCTGGAGCAGGGTCTCAGCACACAGCCGGCAGGCAGGACAGCCACCTACACACCCCAGGAGCAGAGTGCACATGCACTGGTGTGATGTCCATCACCAGTCAGGAGGGGCAGTGCCCGCATAGCTACTCCACAGACCACTGCAACGCAGTGATACTGGGGAGGGGCGAGGGGGACACACGACGGGGATGCATGGCCGTCCCTCAGCGTAAGGGGTGAAATGGAGCGGCCAAGCCATACAACACCTCTGCATCTACACTCACACAGGCCTTTAAGACATCTGCAGGGGGCCAGATACAGCTCAGCAGCAAAGTGCCTGCCTGGCAACTGCAAGGTCCTGAGTTTGAGTCCCAGTTCCAAACAAAACGAAATAAAAAATTAAACAAAAAGGTCTGTAGCAAGTGAAGTCCCAGAGGTGAGCTCTCAGGAAGGTTTTTAGCATTGAGTATGAGAAACTAAGCCAGGGTTGTTTCAACAGTCTCTCCTGTAGACTCAAGATCAGACTGAGCACACGGGATGTTCTGTGGCCAGTACTGGGGACAGGAGAGCGCATCTTCAGGAGGATGCGCCTTGGGAAGGAGGGCAGGGTCAGGCGCGTGCATGCACACACAGCCACAGGCCAGGCTGAGCCAGAGGGAAAGGCTCTTACAGCAGAGCCATGTGGGCGGGGCAGGAGGTAACAGCTGTTTCGTCATCTGCGCCTGTCACTTCACAAAAGCAGCGGGGAGAGGAAGACCCACAGAATCTGCACTGAACTCACTCAGGGTGGCTGCAAGCGGCCCTAGAGAGCATGTCAGGCATGGCCATCTGCACATTGGACACAAACCCAATCGTGGTCCAGTTAGGAAAATGTCAAAGAAAGTACTTTCTGCAGAGCACTAACACGTGGGAAACCCTCACAGGTGTTCATGCATCTCTAATAAGCATATAAAGCTGTGTAAATGCTAGCCACAGTGCTGCACACCCGTCACCTTACAGCAGCCAGAGACTGAGGCAGGAGAGTCACCTTGAGTCGGAGGCCAGGCAGGGATACACAGTGAGTTCGAGGACTCACTGGATGCATAATGAGACCTTGTCTCAAAAAACAAAAACACAAACACAAAATCCTACAAAGCATAACAACGGGCAGGACAGAGACCCCAGGCCTGAGATTCTGCCTCTGGCTGATATTCTATGACCTTCTACAGTTTTTGTTTCCTCACCTGTAAAATGGGGAGAAGAAGGGTACTTAACTTAGAAGGGCTGTTAGAATCATATGAGAAGACGCATAAAAAGCATCTCCGCCTAGGGCCTGCAGCGTAGAAATCCTCTATAAATGTTCACAAACCAAACCAAACCAAACCAAACCAAACCTTTTGCCTGGCACCCGTTGTAACTGATCTTTATTTTACCAACCGAGACTACGTGGTAGACCACATGGAGCCCCGTCTTGGCGGTCCTCCTCCTTGGAAGGGCAGCCTGGATAGGGGACACTGCCTAGAGGATGGAAGGCGGGAGGTCGAGTGCCCACAGAACCACACTAGAAGACGCCAGGACACGGGCCCAGGCTGTATACCAAGCACTGCCAGCTCTGACAATCTGCCTACGCCAGGTAAGCCATGGACTCGACCCACCACCGCCACACACCCAGCACGCTGGGTGCCTGCTCTAACTCTAGTTCCACCCAAGCAACAGAGTGGGGTCCAACCTCCTACCCAGCAGCCCGCAGACCCCACACTGCCCGATCTCCCAGCAGCAGCGAAGACGCACAACACCCCTGAAGGTGCCACATACCAGCTCCACATCCGGGGGCACGTTCAGTCCTAAGGGAGCTATGAAAGGCTCTTCGTTTTCTTCCAAATTTTCAGCCTCATTTTTTTCTATAAAAAAGAAAATTACAAACTTCAGAGTGACGCTTAGGAAAGAAGGCATCACAGATGGGCAACAAAGGAAGCGTGGAGACAGGTTCTCCGCCTCCTCACCTCCCAACCCCCGCCTCTTAAACCCGCTCTTCCTTCCTTCTGGGGTCCCACAGGGTGGGGAGGGGGAGGAGGGGCAGGAGGGCTCAACAGCACGGCACCTCCCCCAAGCGATCAGGGCTTCTCAGTGCATGCGGTGCAATGCCAGGTAACCAGTTCTCATTATCAAACTGCAAAACATCCTTCCAACACTGGCCAGGCCTCCCCACCTAAGCTGCTGATCTCTTTTCACAGAGAATCTGATTTGCTTTGCCCTTTCTACTTCTCCATTAACTACCTCGGCCCGCAATTCAGCTCAGCAGTGTAAGCGCCTGCCTGGCAAGGTGCTACCCTTCACAACTTCCTAAGTTTCAATACATCTCACTCACCCACAACTGCTGCTCTAAAAGGATACAGTGACATGCACAAGGATCTACAGAACTTTACAAAGTAGCTTTTCTTGGTGCTAATTTCTCACTGAGCAACACCCCTAGACTTCCTCTTTTCTTGAGACTGGATTTCACTAAATTGCCAAAATGCCCAAACTGGGTTCAAACTTGTGATCCTCTCCTACCTCAGCCCCCTCGGGTGCTGGGATTATAGGCATATGCCACCACGTGGGCCTGGCAAAAAGCAACACTTTCAATTACTTCAATATACACTTGGGTTTTTATCTGGAAAAAGACAACACTAAAGAAGCAAATCCACCAGGCATAGCACACCTCTCAGCAGATCAATGATCGCAGCTGTCTTCTTCAAACCAAGCTTCTTAGGGAACTACAGGCATGTGCTGAGCAGGTTCCACTGTGCACGGCCGCTCACGCAGCACTCAGGCTGATCCCAAACCGCAGGTAAGTGATGAACAGTGCCCCACTTCTGCCTATGGGGCCCTGCTCTCTGCTGAGAATGAGGCACGGGAAGGCAGAGTCGCCACTGGCTCAAGGTTTCCTGTCATCAGCAGCCTGCCGCTCAGCTCCGGTAAGCAGACGAGAGAACTGCCAAGTGTCACAAACACTAATTTGCGAAGATTTGCTATCGGAAAAATGCCAACTCACAGCTTTCTCAAGTCCTTTTTGGGAATGAGGCTGGGGCACAACTTTCACTGTACTTTCCTAAAATAAAAAAGGGACTAAACTATGGTCTATTCAAATACCCTTTCTGTAACGCAAAGCTGCACTCAAGAATCCAGGCATTCCAGTAGGAAGCAGAGAGAATCACAGGGGAAGAGAGTCCTTCCACTCTGACGGACGCCTCTGTTCACAGAGAAATAGCTGTAGCAGTGGGAAGCAAAATCACAGCAACGCAAACTCAGATCCACATCAGTTGAAACAACCTTTCTTTCAAGAGAGGGACAGTCATGATGAAAGCACTGGGCTAGGCTGTGAAGACTGCTGCTGCGGGGAGGGAGCCAGCCACACAGAGACGCAGAGGCTCTGCGAAGGCTCCAGGCCGGGACCGCGGTGCGAAAACACTAAATATGCTAATGTGGTAATTTAACAAATCATGGTAAAGGCTCAGGAAGACACACAGTTATTTTTTATTTCAAAAGAACGTGACACTGAGTTTGGCTGTCCATGGTGCTGGACACCACACTGATTTCTGTTAAGGGTATGGTTTTGCATTTATACGCACAAATTAAATATAAAATGTCTAACTGTGTCACTCAAATCCAATTTCCATTAAAAAAATTAATCTGCATATGCTGAGACTAGGATTATAGAAAGAAAAGAACTTTATAAAATACTAGAGAGAGTTTTATAAAAGACAAAGTCACACAGACATTTGTAGAATTAAATCAGAACAAAGGTCACCATCACTTAGTGCACTAATGATGCACACCAATGTCTATAGCAGAGGGACAAACAGTGACGCCAGGCAGCAGGCACTGCTGGCTCTGGGAGACATCTGTGCTGCAGGGACACAGACCTGCAGCAAGTGGGACAGAGGGGCATGGCTGTGTGCCAATAAAGCTTTATTTATAAAAACCTGGCAGACGGCCCGTGGTCACAGCTCCCTCACACCTAGTCCAGAAGGTCAGGAAGTCTGTATGGACTTTTCTGAAGATTATATAAGCCTAAAAAGACAGCTGGTTTTACATGCGTCAAACCTTCACTTGTGATGTGATAATTTACACCTTCCTTCTGATGAAAACTCTAGATTTTAAGAAAAATAAAAGCATGTGATCCAGAGATAAGACAACAAAATCTGAACTATTTGGAACCCCAGCAGGAATCTTACTCTGGATAAACAAATGCGTACTTCTTAGCCCTACAGCACTTCCAGCAATTACAACCACAGGACAGTGAGGCTCACAGGTCAGCACATGAAGCATTAGCCAGCGCTGACTCTGGGGGCCTCACGCCACACTCGGAGTCTCTCTGCAAAGTCACAGAACAGCACTGTGCTTGGGGTTCTCCGATCCATGGGACCACAGAGGACTACAGAGGCAGAAGGACAGAAAGAAGGCCCCCTACGGATGCCTGCAGTCCTGTCTCCACCATGGCCCTTGGAGGAGGGTGGGGGACCCTCCTGCGGCCTCCTCAGACTGGTTACTCCAGGTGAACGAACACAATGCCAGGTAACAGGGGAAGTAATCTTGGACATGAACTCTCCACGGCTGTGATCTGGCTGCTGTTCCACTCATCTGAGTGAATTTCCATTCAGAGCTCTCTCCCTCCTTGACAGAGGTCTGCGTTTGAGGGACGGTCCTTAACACCTCGGCCTCATGTCCACTGCTGTCTGTAACTGAAAGCCAGCTGATCCTGGGACAATGGTGATGCCAGGCCTCGTGGACGTGGCAAGGACACTTCCTCCTATACTATGTGAACTTGGGGCTTTTTTTTATAGCACCATTTTTTATACTCAGTCCCAGAACTGATCCAAGAAAACACTCATGTAGGATTATTTTATATTAAAAGTCTTACATGCAGGCAGGCATGGTGGCACATGCTTATAATCCCAGCATACTGGGAGGCTGAGGCAAGAGGTTCACAAATTCAAGCCTAGCCTGGACAACATGGTGACTCAGCAAGACCCTATCTCAAAAACAAAAACACGTGTGTGGCACACGCCTATAAACCCAGCACCCAGAAGGCTGAGGCAGGAGAACTGCTGTGAGTTCAAAATGTCTGGGCTACATAATGAGTTCAAATCCAGCCTGACCTATATAGTACGCTTCTCAAAAAAGCAAAAAACCCAAAACACTCCTCACAAGCAACCACCATCCTCGAAAAAGGGAGAGATAAAACAGCAGCAGTAGCAGCAGCAACAAAAAACAAGGTCAGGGAATTTAGCTCAGCCCAAAGGCCCCAGGCTGTTCCCCAGCAGTGGGAAAGAAGTAACGTGCGGCTTTCTACCTAGCAATAACCAACTCTCGGGTGCCCTGCCACCCCGCAGCAAGGGTGGGGAGAGGCACCGCCACCTGCCCTAGCCAATGCCTAGCCTACGCAGGCCTCAGAATGAACCTCATAGGATGCCACCGAGGGTGTCACCGCCCAGGAACAAAGAGTCCCACGGGCCCCTCACCGCTCCCTGAACCGAGCAGGAGACAGGAAAAGGCAATGTCTGAACTGGCTTTCCACCCATCAGCCACCCTTTCCAGTACCAGAAGTAGCAGGGCTGCGGCCACCTGTGCCACCCGGGCGCCGGGGCCTCGCCCTCATCCTCACCTCTCTGTTTCGAAGGCTCCTCCTCCTCCGTCGGCTCTGACGGGTCGTAGTAGTCGCTGCCATAAGTGAAGCCCACAGCGCTGTAGTTCCCATCCTCGGCCAGGGCTTCACTCAATCGCTTGTACTCTTCCTCTTGAATAAAAAGGGGAATTTTATTAACAAACGTAAAGTTTACTGAGAAAAATCTTAGAATCTCTAAAGTTGTAGCTATCAGTCAGTAAAGCATACAACACACTGTCTTCAACCTTTTTGAGGTACAAATGTTTCTAAACACGCACACTTTACAGTTATCAATGTGCACTTTTGCCAGTACATGTTTACCACAGACAGCAGAATACACATCTTTTGTGGAAAATTTCTTCCTGCCAAGAAAACTTTGGGATTAAGAATTGTATTAAAGATTGTTAAGGCAAAGACAAGAACATCAATTTTAATTCATACGATACTGTTAAAGAAGAACAGTTAAAGAGTTTGGTTTTTGTTTTTTCAAATCCCAGTCTGCCCTCAAAAGCTGGGAAAATTCTTTGTGGCTCTATATATAAACTATCCTGAGGTCCTCTCAGAACGCAAAGACTCCTGTTTTTCCAATCCACTGGGTACTGTCAAGATAATATCAGAAAGAGTGAGTATAAAAAAATGAATGGGAGTAAACTTTTAAATACTTAAAATTGTAAAAAGTTGTGGCTGAAGTAAGTCTTTCTTGAGCAGTACCTTGCCTTGCCTCCTCCTCAAGCAAGTCCGTATGCAAGGCTAAATACCTCTCTTCATCACACAGCGCCTCTACCCGCGCCTCCTCTTCCGACAGCTGGTAGTCTCTGTTCCAAGTGGCATACTCGGCATCGTACGCAGAGAGGTCATGCAGGTGACCGCGCCCATCGTATCTGTAATGCGAATACGCTGGTCAGCGGACAGAAGTCACCACCTCGGTTGGTTGCCTGTGACACACCAGGTTTATACTTACCAAGTAAAAGAACAAAACAAAAGTATTAAAACAATGTCAAGCTCTTCCCAGATTTACAGTTAACGTGGCTAGTCCTTCTCTCCTACTTTACACTCACGTTACCTTAACAAAGTCTGAGCTCGCTCCACAGTGCTTTCAGGCTAACAACTGAGGCGGACAGTGCTTCTATCAAAAATGGCACCCGCTGCGCTAGCAGCTCTTAACGTGTACCATTCAACGCCACTTGCAAAAAAGCAAAAAAAAAAACCAAAACAAAAAAACAACAAAAAAAAACCAAACTTTTTTCTGAAGAGTTAAATATTATAGCTTACATTCACACAAACCAAATACATAAATACCTATCCGTAAGAACCAAACGGTCGAAATTTCCTCGCTTCTTTCTGCTAGTCCCGAACGCTCAGGAGAGATCTTCATCAAAGACACTTGCGTCCATTGGAGGTAAAATCTTGGCTAGGCTGGGCCCCTAGCCACTTGGCTGAGGAAAGAAGTGCTGGGTTATGTGGTAGAGAGACACACATACATAGGAACAGTAACATGTACATGCAGTTTAAGGAGGTTCACGGTGGGCAAAACCATTAGAAGCTGTGGTTATCGGTACCTTCCCCTAAACTTTATAGCTCAGGAGACAAAGTAAGTGAAGACAAATCCATTTTTCTTGCATGGACCAGCAAATACCAAAACTGAGAATAAACACATTTCCAATGTTTCAACATGAGATTCAAAGAAGATGTTGACAACATATAACTATCAGACAACAAATGAGTTAGTAAGTTCTTTTAAAAAACCCTGACTTTGACTTGCAAAAGCACATGAAAGTGACAAAAGTCTGCTTAATTTATTAGGGCTGACTTTTGAAACAGGAACCAATTTAACAGAAAAAAAGGTCTTTATAGGGGAAAAAAAGCCATAAATTCCAAGGAACCCAAGAACTGAATTTTATTAAATTTAAAAATTAGTTTTACTTTGACGTAAACCTCCTTAACTTACAAATGTAGATTATTACTTGAAAATATTACATGTGTAGTACATGTGTAGTGTTTGCTCCCCACCAGTTTTGGGAGACCTCACTCAAATCATGTACAGAATGATATGGAAACTGTATCAAGAGCCGAGCTTAGGATACACATGACAAGACACACTTTGGAAAGCAAGTCTGTAACCCAGGCAACATCACTTGCAATAAACTATGGAGGTTCAAGGCTCAGCAACTGAGCAGAGCAGAAGCCTCTGGGTCCAGAGCTGATCTGATCGGTTCCCTCCCGCCAGGAGTTCTTGCTTCCTAGATCCACCTTCAGGTGGAAACATGAGGGACCGCAAAGGCCTATTTGGTCACTAATGAGTCCATTCTGGCCAGCACAGAGGTCATCCCTACAGTCATGTTCCAGGGCTTTGCAGAATCCAGTTTTAATTGTCTCAAGCGACGGACTTCCTTCCCTTGGAGACTATTCCACAGCTTAGTGGCTGGTCACTGTTAGCCTTTCAGTCCAGGCCCCAAAAGTAGTGCTGCCCAACTGGCAAAAAATCCCACACCTCAGCGGGAAGGGAGAAGGGGGGACTGAAAAAGCGGGGGGGGGGGGAGCAAACAACCTACATCACGTAAAGTCATCCTTTTCAAATCAAGCACCTTTAGGAATTCCCAATCCGACCCTTGACCCAGACCCACGATCGCTGAGTTCCCTGGGGAGGGGGATCACCTAAAATAGGCATGATTTGAGAAGAGACAGAACACCGGGAGCCCAGCTCCACCCCTCGGTTTTAGGAGACAGTGAAACCAGCCCTAAGGTCGCGACCCTAGGAGGTCAGGAGGTCAGCGTCCGCCTCCAGCCGACTGACTTCACCCCGACCCTCTGTCTGCAGGAGGTCGGAACGCGCGAGGGGCTCGGGCGCCGGGCCAGGAAAGGTTCAGGCTGACTTCGGGTCCCAAAGAGGTTTCAGGAGCAAAGCGCCCCGGCTCCCCGACCCGGCGAGTCGCTCCCGCAGAGCCTCAGGGCGGGCTTCACCGTCCCCTCCCCGAACGAGCCCCGCGGCTCCGCACGACCCCGGTCCGGTCTCGGCCACCGAGTCAACATCAGGCGAAATCAAGCGGGCGAGGGAGGGGAGAGGCGGCGGGCGGGGGAGGAACCGACCTGTCGATAAGGATCTTGGAGTCCCCCATCCAGGGGATGAGGTGCTGTCCCTGCTCCTGGGCCAGGGCCCGCTCGTCGTCCCGAAACAGTTTGCAGGCATAGCCGAAGACCAGCAGCTCCACTCGGCTGCCCCCACCGCCCGCGCCGCCGGGCCCGGCCTCCTCCTTCGCGCCGCCTTTCCTCTCGGGCTTGGCGCGGCCGCCTCCCGCGCCGTACATGACAGCGTCCCCGGCGATCAAGCCGATCCCCTGCTGAGCCGCGCGACGTCCCCGGTCCCTCGCCTGGCCTACACCCTCAGTCAAAGACTCCGCATCCCAGCCACAACCGCAACACAGCCGCCATGGGGGGCCACAAAATGGGGGACGAGCAACTTCCGGCGGGAGCGCAGCACTTCCGGTGACAGGGACGGCAGATTCGCCATGGCTCTGAGCCGTTGAAGCCGATAGAAAATAAACAAGCCTTAGTTTTCTCAGTCAAACGCGTCGCTACGATGGGAGCTGCTAGTTATAGGACCTGATGAATTTTTTATTTGTGAATCCTTGAGCGGACAGTGACGAAAGTGCGGTGCTGGACCGCGCGCCGGCTTCTCTGTGTTGGGTGGGGTCCTGGTGGTTCCTGTTCTGACAGTGGGAGTCTGGGCGGAGCCTGGTGGGACCCGGGGCAGCCGGAGGCTCCACGGGCAGCGCGTTCTGCTGTCCGGGTCCCACAAATCTGCGGTGTAAATAATCTCACATTTCTTTACCTTTGACATCACAATTGCATCTTTTGGAAGTTTCCTCTACAAATAGATTCTCAAATGTTCTTAAAGAATTAAGAACGATGTGTGTTTGTTAATGCTTGTGCTTCTTGGAACAGCTTATTAAGGGACGACTGACATAAAAACATATTTAATGTGTACAATTTGATGAATTTGGATGTGCGCATGCAGCCCTGCGTTAGCGCCACCGAAGTGGCACACATATCCATCACTTCCAAGCCTCTTGTGTGCTTTCTTTATAGCCAAGGGCACTTCTGGTGAGAGTGGCCCCTTAACAACTTTTCAAGTATGCAGTACAGTGTGGTTAGCAGGGGTGTTGCGCTGAAGTGCTGATCTCTGATGCTTACAAGCAGGGAAAAACATCTTTACAGTACAGTTTGTTACCAATATCCAAAATTACTGAATCATCTGTCAGTAGGTGCAGGATTAGGTAAGCCAGGGAGAGTCCTGACCAAAGTGCACCATTAGAACAGGAAAGCTTGGTGGACCTCTACAGGCTGCTCTCTGGGACAGTGGCATGGAATACACTATGCAGGGGAAGCTTTGGCTGCTGCGTGTATTCTGAATGGTGCAGGCCACCCTTGGGATGCGCAGGACTCGGCAGATTCCTAGTGATGGCACATGGGTCCCTCTGCAGGAACGTCTTCCCGCCTGGTGTCCCAGTTGTGTGCACAGATCTCCCAAGGCCCCAGAGCTCCTGGAGCAAGGCCAGCCCCTTAGCAAGGCTGAGGATGAGCCACCCGTGGGCGAGGACATGGGTACCCCACCACAGATGGGGATCTGGGAGTCCTGGCATGCCCTGGTTGGTGGCTACCTTTTTTGGCCTCAAGATCACAAGTGACATCAGAGTAACTTGGCCTTTCTCTGGTCCTTGTCCCTGCAGCTCCATTTTGTGAGTCAGCCACTGGCTCCCAGCACAGTGAAGAGTCGGGAAGGAGGGGAGCGTAGCATGGCCAGCCAGGTGGTCAGCACACCTGGGGCGGGCGTGGTACACGGGCAGTTCCTGTCCACAGGCCGAGGGGCAGGTGGGATAAGGCGGTGGCTTGGCTGACTGAGCTTTTTAGGAGAAAACTCTCCTTGAGAGGGAGGAGGGCACAGGACACCCAGACTTGGCTCAGCGGGTCCCCAGCCCGATGTCCCCACATGGCTGCATCTGAAGCCCTCAGCTGCAGGCGACCCTGGGCTTCTTGGCCCTGCACACAGCCAGGCTGAGTCGCCCCCTAGGCCCAGGGCCCCTGAAGCACCCTTTCCTCCTGCACAGACCGTCCTCCCTGTGTACACACGCACCAGCCACTTTCTATTGATTTCCATTTGCACCTTTATAAGCTGAGGATGGGGAGGAAAGGGGAGTTCATGAGGGCGGCAATGCCGTGTCCACCCACTCTACGTGGACAGCCTAATTACAGCTCCCCAGGGACCAGAGTGACTCCCTGGCCAGCAGCTGGAATTCAGGATCAGAGCAGAAGCCTGTGAAAGAGCCCTGGGGTCCACTGGGGGGCCCACCTCCTCACACTCAGAGCTAGGGCCTCGCCAGCACCCTCCCTGCACACTGCCCCCGGGAGCCCCGGTTCTCAGTACTGGAGACCTGGGGAACTGGAAGGAGCTGGGAAAGGGCCTCCCCTGGATCACAAAGGGACCCAGACCCTCAAAGGCTCCCAGGAGATGAGAGTGTGTGGCAGCACGACAGGACTGCCCACTGCCTTTCTGGGGCGGCCGTGTCTCCTCACTGCACACAGACACACAGACACCAGAGCCACGGGCAGGCAGTGCCCTCCCGTGCTGGGCTCCCGCAGGTGATGCCTCCAGGTTCAGGCTGGGTCGTCCTCAGCGAATATTGATAGGGGACACCTTTCAGTCTACATGCAATTTGGGCCCAGTGGTCAAGGGACAAAGATGGGCTTTTCCTCAAGTGCAGCTCAGCAGCTGGGTGTCCACTTGCAGAGACCCTGGGCCGGACCTGGAAACCTCCTGAGACGCACCGAGCTCAGAGTGCGCAGGGCGAGGTTAGGGAATTTCCTCATCGGGGAATGACAGGAGCGGCCGCAGCCTGCAGAGAAGCAGCAGCTGAGGCGCCAAGCGGTGGACTCCAGTCCAGGGTATGCACAGAGCCGCGGGCTCTCAGTGATGAACAACCGAGATCAAGAAGCCAAGCCCTCCCTGCGAGTAGCGCTGTTTGTGGCCAACCGGAAGACACCAGCCCTTCCAGCTGAGGCTGGGAGACAAGAAGAATCAAGGCCTCCCCTGGCAACCCGGCAAGTGACCGGCTGATCCAGAGAAACACAGGCTGTGCTGATAGCCATCAGGGTAAAACACAATTTAATGGTGGTAGTGTTTAGGGTTTCACTGATTTTGCAGGCCGAAGGCCAGGTGTCTGATCATCTGTCTATTCAGAGGATAGCAGTACGCAGTGTAACTTCTGTGGGGATTGCCTTCTGCAGGTGGGAGCCATTGTTCATTCCCTCTCATCTTGTTTTGAAATCCTGTGTCATTTTCAGTGCTTTCTTTGGTTGGGTTTTATTCTGTTTCGTCTTCTTCGATTATATCATTCATATCCAGCAACTTGGGCAGCAGTTTCAAGCATAAGAAGACATATCATGGTAGCAATCTTGGGTTTATTGTTATATTGTTTTGAAGTCCTTTATTGCATTCATGTTTTGTTTTTATTAGTTCTAGTTTGTGCTATTTTGTTTGATTTTTCCCATGTCTGACGGTATGGAGCTACTTTGCATACAAGAGGCATTACGGTAGCCATTGTCGATTTTCTATTATCTTGTTTTGAAGTCCTGTATTACTTACCCTGCTTTGTTTTAAATGACTTTGTTCTGTTTTATTTTATTGGGGACCTGGCCTAGATCCTCAGTCTCCCACACGAGTGTACGGCGAAAGCTTAAATAAATGAGACAAGTGATGTGATTTTAGGCTTCCAGGAGGATCAAACCTCTCTGCAGAATTCGAGACTCTGGGGACTGAGACAAAGAAAGTTTCTGGGGGGGCTGTATTTATTAGTTTTCAAACAAGGCAGGGGCTAGTGTGGAAAGCACAGGAAACTGAACAGAACTTGGGAGTGATTCAAGGACTTTGCCAAGTGACAGATCCTGTTTAATGTAGGACTATCTTGTGTTAATTCAGGAGAAGTACCTCAGGAGAAGATCTCTATGCTGTGAGATGCCTGCGGCTACAGTTTATTTAGTTAACTGGAGGTGGGGTCAGGCATCCTCAGCTGTGACCGTAGCTTGCCTTTTGGGGCATCTCTTCGTTCTCCAGTTGGCTGTGTCCTGGCCATGCCGAAGCCCTGCATGTGTGTTCAGTTTCGGGTTTAATGGCTCATAACTTTATTTTCTTTGCTTTTATTCTCTTTAAAATAAAAATCACACAAAAAAATAATAACTGAGAGCTCAGGATGTTTCGCCAGAGGAACTGCAACAGTGCAGGAGAGCACTGAATAACTGCTTGGCTCAGGAGTCACTGGGAGGAAGCCCGGCGAGCCACGGCCAGACGGCGCCACCCGCCCGAGGAGGGGGTGCTGGGAGCTGTGCTTCAGGCTGTTCAGGGAGCGCCTCTTTACTGATTTAACAACCCAAGTGCTTCATCAACCGTGAGAAAAAGGTGCCCATCGATCCTGGGTTAGTTAGCTATGAGGCTTAGCCAGGCTTATCAAGATGTTTGTGTTAACCTTTATTTTATTCTCATACATGCAAATTACACATTTTGGTCACAGGCTGCCTTGTTACCCTCCTGTTGTAGGAAGGAAAACAGGACACGTAATTTACAGTATTATTTTATAATAGTCACCCAAAGAGACAAACACAAAAAGTGCAGGAAATCTGTCCACACACTAAAGACCCGAACCATCCAGTGAGGACAGTGCCCTTCAAGAGTCCAGCTGAACACCTAGCAACCACGGCAATGACTCTTGCAAGTCTGCTTTGTGGATCTGCTCTGGGAAGGCCCAAGGTTAGCGGTAGAAGCTAGAAAGTCTGTGCCAGCGAGTGAGGATCTGCACTGGAGCCAGGAAGCGATGCTCAAACTAAGGACCAGAGCTCCCCAAAGTGAACGTAGCCATCCTCAGTGATCGTGAGGTCCCGAACTCTTCCGATAGTGAGAACAGCCACGCTGGCATCAGGACACAAGCTCAGCAGACGCCTCCAGGAGAACCAGTGCCAACAGAGAACCAACTGTGCCACTTCCTGCACTCCAGCTCTCCTTTTTATGTTGGCAGCAGTCTTCAGGTGAGCTGTCCACATCCTGCACCCACCAACTCAGGTCAGCTGGTGTTTAGATTGACCACCAGTCGGCGAACCACCATACCCCCTGGCACCTCCCTCCCTGCCATCCTGTCATTTCCTTCCCCTCGCCCGGTGACAACCTTCCTGCTGCTTCCAGGTCACCTTCCCATGGCCACTGTTCTTGGATCCACAAGTTAGGGACACTG